GTCTCAGCCACTGGGCCACCGGGGAAATTTCTATTTTAACTTTTCTTGATGCCCGATTCAGGGCTTCCTCCACCACATTACCTCTTTTTTAATTATGGACAGTTTCATATGGACATAAAAGTAGAGAATAGGGGATGGTGATCCTTTAGGGACCCATGCATCAACACTCCAGCTTCAATAATTATCAGCATGGGGACTTCTCTTGTGGTCCAGTGGTTAACAATCTGCCTTGCAACGCAGGGAACATGGATTGGATTCCTGGTGGGGAACTAAGATTCCCATGCTGTGAAGCAACTAAGAAAGATGACACAACAAAGACCTGAGGCAGCCAAATAAATAAATAAATATTAAGAAAAAAATCATCTGCATGGGGCCAATCTTGTTTCTCCAGTCTTTTCCAATCTTGTCTTCCCCAGGCCCAGATGCCATTGCCTCTTGAAGTTTGGCTGGCCATGTAGCCTCCCCTCCCCTCCCCCCAACCCACACACCGTGATCTTCATTTGGTCATTCAATGATTAAGTATCTCTTTATTAAACACTGCCTAAGAAAAGTGAAAGTGTTAGTTGTTTGGTCATATCTGACTCTTTGTGATCCCATAGACTATTGCCTCCCAGGCTCTTCTGTCCAAGAGATTCTCTAGGCAAAAATACTGGAGTGGGTTGCCATTCCCTTCTGCAGGGGATCTTCCCAACCCAGGGGCTGTACCCAGGTCTCCTGCATTGCAGGCAGATTCTTTACTGTCTGAGCCACCAGAACAAGACCATGGGGAAGCAGGGAAAAAACACAGAATTTAAAGTTAGTGCTTTGTGAAAATCATTAATCTCTCTGAGGCTCAATTTACCAATGTTTTACTCTTAGGCATTAGTAAATTTATTATACCAAGTGCTTCACACACTTAATTTTCTTTTATTCTAACCTCCCTGTTATTATCCCTATTTTACTGTGATAGAATTGAGCCTCAGAGGGATGAATGACTTGCACAAAGCACTAACTTTATTTATTTATTTATTTTTCAATTACACAGTGTTTTTATTTTTATTCAAATATAAGCAAACAGCAAAATTAACACAACATTCAACTCCAGACTGGCTTTCTTTTTTAAACCAAAGAGTGATCAATTTAATAAGCACAGACTTTAGGATTTCTGATAACCTCTTACCCAGCCCTGCTGCTCATCTAGATGGCCAGGCTTTAACAGCAAAGCAACTTCTGTGGAGTTTTTTTCAGTACTGCTCTTTAAAGGAGCCACAGCGGGACAGACACACAGTAACCAGTCTGAGACATTGGGGGTTAGTGGACATGCCGGTCCCTGGTTGTTTTGGTGAGACAGAGCCGTGAAAACACATGCCAGTAGGTGCCTTCACACACAATTCTGTGCTCAGGCTCACAAAGGGAGAGGCAATCAATCTCTCTTTTGTTTTCAACCTCTCTTAAAGATTCTTTGAAACTCTGTTCTAATACTGCAGACCTGGTCTTTTTACCAGAATTTGTTTTCTTCTTTAAAGTCTGGGTTGTTCTTGTATTAACATTTTGATAAACCTCATCACAGTACCAAAGAATCCCCCACCAAAACGGAGTTCAAATTTGATCAAAACATAAACCCCCTAACATTATACAATACAGGCAGAAGGAAAGAAAAGTCACCCTAAATCTAAATCTGACCGCTCAGGGCTTAGGCAGAGAGATGAGAGGAAATCTACATGCATCAATAAACTGAAACACTGTTTGGGAACTCTGGGACGGTGCCCATCTCCTCTACTTCCCAGACAGCTGCTCATAGAGCTTGGGCACATCGTCATCCCATTCAGCCTGGTAACATGTGCCAGCCACTGGGGTCCCAAGCTCATACTTTTTGCGGAAAGAGGCCACCTTGAATTTGCCACGGTGGTCTCCAGATCGGTTGCTGAGAATGGGCTCGTCACACTTCAGTGGTCCTTTCTGCTCGTAAACCAGCCAGACGTAGCGGTGCAGGCCTGTGCCCTTGGGAGGCCCAGAGCCCACATAATCAGAGAGAACTGTGTCACTGCCAATGTCGTTGCCCTTCATGTTGACCACCAGGAAATGGTGCCATTCCCTGTATTTGGGGTCCTTCCTGCTGGGAGCATCTGGATCTGTCAAGACCAAGGTGTACAATTTACCTGGATCAAGGCCATCCCATGTAACGCTGGTGGGCCGGTTCTTAACCTGAGTGGGTGTCAGCACTTTGCCCAGCTCGTCGACCTCCGCCCCGCCGTATTTGACCTGCAGTGGGTGCTGCGGCCGCTCATCCACTTCCTGCAGGCTCAAAGGCCCGGACCACTTGCCGAGGTCCACTGGCATCGTGGAGCCGAGCGGGTCAGACAGCAGAGAAAGTGGCTTGTGTACTCGCGCAGGGTCAGAGCACTGACTCCAGCACTAACTTTAAATTCTGTGTTTTTTCCTACTATCCCATGGTCTTGTCTTTGAGTTACTACCCAGTGCCTGCCCAGATACAGAGGCTTCATTCGCATACATGTTACTAAACCTCTAGTGGGTGTCAGGCCCTGTGTTGAACAAGGCAGACATAACTCTTATCTTTAAGGAGATTCAACATTTTACCATTCGAGGTATTAAAAGTTACCATGGGTTGAAGCCTGGTGGCTAAAACAGAAGAGCCAAACTCAGTCTCAGGGGGTCAAGGAAGGCTTCATGGAGGAATTAATTTAGACATGAAGGGCAAAGCAAAAGGCAGTGAGAATGGGCATGGTCTGAATATTCCAGAGAGAAAAAATGGCAGGAGCAAAGGCTGGAGGAGGGTCTGTTGAGTTCTGGAAACTGCATGGAGAGGATTTCCATATGGCTAGAGTGTGTGAGGTTGAATGGTGGAGTACTGAAAAAGAGGGTTGGAGAAGCAGGCAGAATCTTGAAGGGTCATGATTGCCACACTTTAGACTCAAAAGACAGTGGGGAGTCAGCGAAGGATCTTAACAGGAGAGTGACATCATATTTGAGTGAGTTTTAGAAAAACCAGAGCATAGAGCATAGAGAATTGACCTTAAAGAGGTCAGGCAAGAAGATCAAGTAGGAGGCTAATAAGAGTATTGAAGGTGAGTGATGATTGTGGCTTGGACAAGGACAAATGCAAGGTAAACAGAAGAGGGGGAGGGTGGGGGAACAAAACTGGATATGCATCTGAATGTGAAAACAAGGGTCCAGAAAGGAGAATATCTGTCCCTTTCCAAGGACTTTTCATTTAAACTCTCCCAGTGTTCTTGCCTGGAGAATCCCAGGGACAGGGGAACCTGGTGGGCTGTCTATGGGGTCACACAGAGTCGGACACGACTGAAGTGACTTAGCAGCAGCAGTGAAAAGTGATTTCACTTTCATGCATTGGAGAAGGAAATGGCAACCCACTCCAGTGTTCTTGCCTGAAAAATCCCAGGGACTTGGCAAGCCTGGTGGGCTGCCGTCTATGGGGTCACACTGAGCCAGACACGACTGAAGTGACTTCTCAGTAGCAGCAGCAGTGAAAAGTGAAAGTGTTAATCACTCAATTGTAGTAGCTCAGTTGTTGTGACCCCATGGACTTGTAGCCCACCAGGCTCCTCTGTACATGGAATTCTCCAGGCAAGAACACTGAAGCCACTCCCTTCTCCAGGAGAGATTCCCAACCCAGGGGTCAAACTCAGGTCTCCTGCATTGCAGAAAGATTCTTCACCGTCTAAGCCACCAGGGAAGCCCCAAACTCTCCTAAGTGATGGTTATATGCTTCCCAGGTGGCTCAGTAGTCAAGAATCTGCCGGCAATGCAAGAGACATGGGTTTGACCCCTGGGACAGAAAGATCCCCTGGAGAAGAAAATGGCAACCCACTCTAGTATTCTTGCCTGGGAAATTCCATGGTTAGAGGAGCCTGGCAGGCTACAGTCCATGGGTTCGCAGAGTTGGACACGACTGAGAGACTAAACAATGACAACAACAACAAAGTAATGTCTAAATTAAGGCTGGAGGTGGGGTCTTGCAGAAATACTATCATTGTTACAAGTGATCTCAAAGATCAAACACCCTTCTCTTTCAAATTTGCAAAGAAAGGCCCAGAGAAGCAAAGCAACTTGCTCAAGGTCACACAGCATGTCAGTGGCAGAACATGACTCCTTGTTCTTTATATAGCATTAGCCAGCCTCCAGTGAGGCTAATGGCTGGGGGTTCTATGCCAACACGCCTAGACCTAAGGTGACCCAAGCAAGATTTGAAGAAGGTCGACACAGATTCTTACTGCTCCCCTGCACCCATCCCTGCCACCCCTCCTCCACCCACAGCTCCAGTGATCAGTCAATGAATAACTGTAGAAGCAGTTCTGTTGTGGCGAACAAGAGGTGCAGAGGCAAAGGCCTGCAGTAGGATTTCCTATCCTCAGATCTTAGGATAGGAAGATCTGAGATCTTCTCAACACTTCCCACTGCAGTCGGGGAAGGGGTAAGGGGCAGTCACGAGGCAGCCAGTCCCCCCTCCACTCCCCAGCCCCCAGACGGTTTCGCCAGCCAAGTTCTCACGAAGAGGCCCCTCCCTCAGCGGCTCCGCTGTTGCTATGGCAATTAGGTGGGTGGACAGCCCATCCTATCTAGAGGCCACCCAGCCCTCGCGTGGGGAGTTACCATAACAACCCCCCTAGTAATAGAGGGGGTTGGGTCCCACCCCCTTTCCCCCGCAAATAGAGAGGTGGGTGGTTTGATTGGCAGCTGGGCACACGAAAGAGGAGGGAAAAGGAAGGAAAGGCGTCAAAGGAGAGATCAGAAGGAAATGGGGGAGAGAAAGGGCAAAAAACGGAAAGGGAAGGAAACGCGTGTGCGCACGCGCGCCAGCTGGTGGGCGCGCTCCGCGGCCGCCTCGGCCGCCGCCCACTTCTTTCACGCCAGGCTCGCGCGGTCCCTCAGTCCTCGCGCGCGCCTTTCGCTCTCTCTCCTGCGCCTGCGCGCAGGTGTCGGCGCCGAGGGGGAGGGGGAACCCGGCGCGCCCGCGTCACGTTCCCTCTTCCACCCTCCCGGTGCGCGGCCACTCCGCGCCTGCGCAGGAGAGGCGGGAGGCTCGGGTTGCAGGCTCTGGGGCGAGAGCTCCTGTCAGTCGGTGGGTCGGTCCTCCCGCCGGCCCTCCCCCTCCCCGTTCTCCGGGGGAGGCGCGGTGGAGCCCGCCTCCAGGATCCCCCGATGGGGGAGAAGCGGCGACGGCGGCAGCGGAATAACCGAGCCGGAGCGTGAGCGGCCCGGGGGCCCCGTTCCCGGTGGCGGCCATGGGCGACCCAGCCCCCGCCCGCAGCCTGGACGACATCGACCTGTCCGCCTTGCGGGTGAGACGCCCCTCTCCCTGGCCCCCGCCCTCCGCTCCCCTTCGCTCTCCACGCGCTGCCGATTCTGGGAGCCAGCTCGGTCCCCGCCCTGGGGTGCCCCGCCCCCATTCCTCTCTCCTCCTCTACCTTTACTCAGCTTCCGGACCCCTTCCTCCCAGGTGTTTGCGGGTCACCCTCCGGTTCCCCTGAACCTGCAGTATCTTTACCGTGGTGCCCCGTCCTGGCCCCTGATCCCCTTTGGGGCCTCTTTCCCCCCAGTTGCTCCTGTCTTCTTCCCCCGCCTCCTGTTTCCCGGCTCCTCGAATTTTGACTTTGCCACTGCCTCGCCAGCCTCCCCCTCATCACCCTTTCTCCTCCTCGCCCAGCCCTGAATTGCATCTCTTCGCCGGCCGGCACTTCAGCCTCCCCTCTGCGGCCGCACACCTCCTACCGCCGCCGTCACCCGGCTGCTCGGCTCCCGCCCGCCCCGGTGCCTTCGCTCGCGTTTCAGGTGCAGCAGTCCAGCACCAGGCATTTCCGGTCTCAGGGTCCCCCGCATATTACATTACCAACTCTGCAGCAGAGCAGTGGGGCTGGGAGGAAAGTCAAGTGCACCGGGGGAGGAGGGGACGCGTTTCTGGTCTTCAGAAACTCTGGCCTGGGCTGGGAAGAGGATGTTTACAGGTCTGTACACACACAAACACATGCAGCATGTGGTCCTTCGGGTTTGGAAAAGCTTGGGTATTCATGGCTTTGCTGGAAGGCGGGGGAGGCGATGGAGATCTCTCCAGGGAGGGGCTCATTAGAAAAGGGATCAGAGGGGAACAACTGCAGCAGGAATTTCTTGGAAATACCTATTCGTTTTCCCTCCTGGGGCCCTTTCACGTCCTCATTTGGGAGCTTTCAGCAGCATTTACCTGTTTTTCTTCATCAGGGAGCCCTGGCTTAAGGGACCACTGAGTGATTTCAAGGTGAAGGCTCCAGCCTGTCCCCCAGGGGGTGTTTTTGTCCTGTGTCCTTCAGGCTTTCTCAACAGGCCAGGGTGTTTGGGGACAGCAGGATTTCCCATCTCTGGGTTAGGTGCTCCGGAGGCCCCTATTGAAATGTCTTCTGGCTTTTGAGTTGGCCAGGGAATGTGGCCAGTAGCGGGAAAAGGCGGTCAGCCACACAGGTGCCCCGGATATGACTGGAGGGGAGAGGGGAATTGAAGAGAGCAGAGTCATGTCGTTAATTGGGTTTCTCTAGGTGACACAGTTTTTCTTGCCATTCAGGTCATAATTTGTTTGGTGCAACGTTGGGCTAGGAGACCTGACTTGCTTCAGATAAGGTGACGAGTTGCTGAGGAGGGAGATGGAACATTGAATTTCTCTCTCTTTGTCTCTCTCTCTGTGTATGTATGTTGGGGGAAGAGGGCCTGAAGGCTTTGGGAGGGAGAGTCTTAATCAGTTTAAACTGTGATTCTCAAAGTCAAGCCAGCTGGGGAATAAGATGGAAATCCAGGCTCCCCTTAGGGTACTATCTATAGGATGAGTCCCCACCCTCCCTTCCCACCTTGGTTGTTGATTAACTCTGGCTGCAGGTTCCTGTTGCTGAGGTGACTTAAATATAATAAAAACAGGTGGGTCCAAACCATGACCTTTGGCTCAAACCTTGTGGGACTCTGCCTGGGCTTCTCTTTTCCTTTAGCCTTTTCTGCTAGTTTGGCCTGAATCCTCGGCCTGGGATTTCCAGCAATTCTGCAGACACCCTCTGACCTTGGATGTGGTATTTCCCTTCTTAACTTCTCTACTTTTGAAGCAGTGTTAGCCTCTTTCCTCAATCATCTCCTGCCCTATTCTCCTCTCCTTCCCTCCAGAGAGGCCTTTGACCTGCTCCTGGTGCTTCTGATCTTTCCTGCCTCAGGCTTTGTAAGAAAGCATCCCTCTTCCCCCACTACCACCCCAGTACTCCAGGGCTTGAGAGGGGCACTTCTTTTGAAATAGGACTGGAGAGGGTCTGCTGGACTTTTCTCAGGGAAGGACTTGTCCCCTCCACCCCACCTCAGAGAGCCGCTGTGGAACAGCTGGGCTCAGTCATCTCTTGTTCTGTTCCTGTCTGTTGAGAAATGGCAACCTGGAGAATTAGCAGAAAAGCATTTCTCTAAACTGGGGAGGGGGATGGGAGAGGAACATATTTAGCATTTATTAGCCAGCCTCACAGAACCCAAGTTGTCTGTCTTCTCTTGTTTCAAGATAAGGTTTAGCTTTCAGATGGTGATAGAGTAATAGGCTGATATTAGGAAAGATTGAATGGCATTATCTCTTAGCCACGGGTGGGGCGGTGGGTAGACCTGCCACTTTGTGACCACAGGCATGCTTGCCCTCTTTGAGGCTCCATCTGTCTTCTGGCCCAGTAGTGTGGGGTTGTGTTCCTAAGTTCAAGTCCCCACTTTCTCACTTATGAGTAACCATGGCCTTTCTCCCCCTTCTTCCTTGGTTGGCTGCAGATTCTGCCAAGAGCCTCACCTTCTAATTCTCCGTTTGCTCATCTGTATACTGGTGATGGTACTGAACTCAGAGTTACTGAGGACTGGGTGAAATACTGCATATTAAGTACTTAGTCCAGTCCCTGGCACGTCATGACCATATGATTGCCATTATTGTTAATTGTTATCAGATGACAATCAGAGAAGTCTTCCAGCACAAGTGTATCTAAAATAGCACTCCCGCCCCTGCTTCATTTTAATATAAATTTTATGTAGCATCCCTCAGTCTGCTTTGTTTTATTTTGTAGTTTTTATCACCAGCTGACATGTACTTGTCAACCCTGACTAAAATATAAGTTCAGTGAAAGCTACGAATTTGGCTGTTCTGTTCAGCTTTGCATCCCCAGGGCCTGTAACAGTGTTTTGCACGTGGGGGCAACTCAACTGTTGAACAAATGCGTGTCCTAACAAGTGAAAGCTCTTAGCTCTAAGCTCTGCTTAGAGAAAGCATTCAATAAACATCATGCTGGTTAGGCTTTCTCTTGCCGTTTATATACACACAATTAAGAATATATCTTTTCTGAGTTTTTTGGAATGAGACCTCATCTGGTGGTAAACAGAGCTCTGGAAGCCTCCATCTGAGGCTTGAAGTAAAGTTAGGATCTTCCAAGAGAAAAAAAATGGACCTCTTATTTCAGACCTTCTCTGTGTCCAAGTTTGGTTATATTCCAGAAGAATCTTCTGACTGGGAACTCCTGGCTTCTCCCAGAGCAGAAGTATCAGTGGAAGTGGATGGGACAAGGAGGGAGCAGACCCTGGGCTGACCTCTTTCCTTTTGTGGTGCTCCTCGTGGTTGACCCGCTTCACAAGCTGAGCAGCTTCTCTTTACTGTCCGGCCAGCTGGAAGTTTTAGACTGCGGTGTCCTTGGCACCGTGGGGCTGCACTCGGTATGTATTGAAATAACACCATGGCGCGCAGGCAGGAGGGACTTGTTGCCGGGCAGTCGTGCTGACGGAGATGTTCTCACTCTTAACAGCCTTGTGTTGTGTCTCTTCTCTGGAGGAGCCTCATCCCCCTTCCTTTTCTCTTTGCGAGGCTGTGGAGCCAGTACCACTTGGAGGGCTGGCAGTTCTGGGCGTGTGTTTCTAGGCCGCCGAGCACCGCTGCAGTCTGATGTGCTGGCTGTCCAAATGTTGACGGCAGATGCCTCAGGCCAGGGCTGGACAGGCTGACCTCCTGCCGCAGAAGCAGGGGCTTTGAGTAGGGACTTTTTTCCTAGAGAACTGCAGATGAGGGTGGGGCTCTTGGGGGAACTAGTGGCACTTAGAGTGAAGTGAAAACTGCTTTGGCCAGAGGATGGAAGGAAGGTGGCAGAGAACTTTGCTAGAATGAGATGGTCAGTCATCTCCCAAGCTAGGAAGGAGACATCGCCACCCTTTGTGCCACGGGTGGGACAGAGCCCTTGCCCTTTGTGATCCACAGAGGGGAGGGTCTTTGGAGAAGTGAGGTTTTCACAGTTAAGAGAACAGTAAGAGGGTCAGCAAGAGAGCTAGCCTGCCTACCACCACCAGCTTCTCCCAGGAGCTCAGTTAACAATAAAATTCTAATTTCAGATCTGGCCTCCATTCCTTTCCACTCTGAACTGTGTGCCTAAAACAGGACAACAGCTTGGGTCGGTTGAGTGTCCTTGCCTGTCATCCTAGGGACAAGATAGCAGGAAGTGTGCAGCCGCCCTTTACAAGCTTGTACTTTGGCCTTGGTTAATAAATAAGGAATGTGGTGACCTCTCAACCCAGGAACATAAAACAGTTCTGGGACTGCAGAGCATCTCCGGAAGCCGTTTGAGAGTCTGCCCGACTGATCTTTCTGTCTCCACAGTTGTACCAGAGAGAGTTACCTGTAACATCCTTTTGTACATCAGTCAGTCACCAAGCATTGTTGGTCTACTATATTGAGAATCAGTTTCTAGATACTACAGGAAGGATGTAATAATGTGTTGATACCATTCTAAGCCATTTAATCAGAGCTCTGGGAGCTTCCATCTAAGCAATGCCTTTGCAGGCTGAGGCTCCCCCCCAACCCCCTCACACACATCCCCTACCCCCTGCAATTTTTAAACTGTTTCTGCCTTCCTCCATCTTAGAACCCTCAGGGTCAGGAAGTTTTTGTTAACTCTGATTGCTGTGACTCATACTCATTTTCTGTTTTCTGTCTGTAGTGGTCAGTCATCTTGAAATCTGATATCAAGTCTTTCCCCCTCCTCCAGCACTCACTTTACACCCACGACTCCCTCAGTTTTCTCTTCAGTAGGCTGAAGAAATAGAACAGAAAGCGATCAAGTTAATAAGTCTCAAAGCATTTCTCAAATGCCCACAGAATATAGGAAGATACAAAAATATGACTTGGGAGAAGCCCACGTTCATTCTTTTCTCTCTCTCTCGTTCTCCCTGGCCTTTTCCTTCTAACCAGCCAGTCCTTGACTTCAGTCTGGTATTGTTCCATCTACGGGACACTCCCCAAGAGGGTAATTGAAAAGATGCTTGAGGTTTTTTGTTC